ATTTTGTATTTCATGATTCAATTTTCTTTAGAAACAATTAGTAAATAGTTTTAATAGTATAGTAAAAAAACTTTAAAATCTTATAAACAATTGTCGTTGTAATAAGAATAGTAATAATAATAATAATAATAATAATTATTATTATTATTATTATAAAGTTTTCAAGTAAATTATTTGACCATGATCCCTCCATATTATAAAAATTACATTGCCCACAATTTTTTTTAATCAATATAGTGATTCATATGTCCTCAAATAATTTATATAAATATTATTTTATTTTTACTAATGATTAAATCTTGAAAATGTGATATGTCCCTAGAATTTTAATATTAAATTCACATATCTTGAAAATGTGATATGTTTATTATCTAGAATATTAATATTAAATTCACATATTTTGAAAATGTGATATGTTTATCATCTATAATTTTAATATTAAATTTACGCATGTTACTTATAATATTTTATGTACATCTGTGCATGTGCACAGGATAATAACTAGTATTTTATATTATTGCGAGTTGGTCTAGCTCACGTTTCGAATATTGAGCGTGACCCTCAAACGAATTGTACTGAAAAATGAATTTGAGCTCGACTATTCCATTAATACTAGTATGGTACCCGTGCGCAGCACGGCGGGGTTATTTCCTCAAACCTTTTTTTTTTAAAACTTTATTTTAAATATTTTTTTTAGAAATTAATTATTTAATTACAATAGAAAAAGGATAGATGAATACAAAATATAAACAAAAATCATATATTATTAAACACTTCTCTATATACAATATTATGATTTGATTTTCTTTCAAACCTTCTTCTCCACAAATTAAAATTTTCAGACCCTTTCTGTTAGTAACACGGGAGACAACGACATATAACTGGCCATGACTAAAAATTGGCTTCTTCAAGAATAAGCCAGCATGCGATAATGATTGACCTTGACTCTTGTTTATAGTCATTGCGTACGAAACCATAATGGAGAAGTGCCTTCTTTGAAATTTGAATGGTACTCTAACATCAGAAGGAGTTATTGTCATCCGAGGTATCAAAACTTTATCACATGCATGATCACCAGTAAGAATTTTACACTCGAGAACATGATTGGAGAGTTTAGTCACAACCAATCGTGTACCATTGCAGAGTCCCATTAGTGATTCATATTCCGCAACAACATAACTGAAGTTCCGACCTTCAAATTCAATTCATGGTTCGGCGTTCCAGAACACTTGATAGTGTTTAAGAACTCATGAGTATGGAGTTGTGCCACAAAGTCGGTATTGGAGTCAGATTTACACGTACTGTATGAACATAAATACGTGCGTCTCTCAGTCAAATTTAACGACGACATGTATTCATTAATAGATTCTACGATATCGAGTGTTGGCGCAAGTATAGCTCTATCCTTCAAGTAACTTGGATCGTCGGTTGCATTCTTGAACATTGGAAATGTGCTTTCAACAATTTTTGCAACTGGATCATCGGATGGCTCTAGTAATAGATCATTTGGTATGTCTATCGGAGAAAATCCATCATTTTTACCCCTCAATGTTCCATCTTCAATGCTCGCTATCCAATCAGCAAAAGCGGCCAACTCGTCACGTTCATTCGAATCGCCAATGCTCCAAAGACGCATATTCTTTGTAAGCCTAAGCACAGTACATTCTCCCTAAATGCTAGAAGAGTTAATAGCAGCATTAACAATCTCCTGATGACTACCCTTTGGAACTAGTGGAAGGATTTGTAGAAAGTCTCCACCAAACACAACAGTCTTGCCTCCGAACGGTTTATGATGATTTGTCGGGTCAAGGGCTCCCATTACTGTTTAAAAGATGCTTGAACAGCTTCAAAACAATGTTTATGCATCATTGGGACCTCATCCCATATGATCAATGAAGAGCGAATAATCAACTCAGCAAGGGGGCTAGCCTGATTGATCTCACACGATGAATTTTCATGCACATAAATAGGAATGCAAAATCGAGAATATTGTGCAGTTCGTCCGCCCGGTAATAGGAAAGATGTTATTCCACTTGATGCAACACAAAGCACAATTCGACCGTGCAATCTTAGCCAAGCAGCTAAAGTCCTCCACAAGTATGTCTTTCCAGTTCCACCATAACCATACACAAAAAACACGCCGCCCTTGCCGGAATGAACATATGTCATTATTTTGGAATAAACACCATTCTGTTCATCGGTCATATGTGTCAGCAATGCATCATGCTCAATAGCTAGAGCCTTACGGTCATAGTTAAGTTCATCCAAAACCAGACGGTTCGCACTTGAATTAATACTACCCATATCTGGAAAAAGCATAGTAGAATAGTCCTTTATCCCAAACTCAACCTAACTCAACCCAACATAATATTTATTTTATATTTATTTATATATTTATTAAATATTATCTACAATAATTTTTTTGTTATTGTTTTAGTTGTGATATGATAAAATAAAAGATATGATAAAATTGATAAGTTACGGTTAAGAAAAAAGAGTGAAAAGATAGAAATTGCAATTATGTTCTAAAATATATCAAGAGTGGTCTCTATTTATAGAGAATGAAAAATAAATTTTTATTTATTTTTTCATTTAAATTAATATCAATAATTTGAGTTACAATTATCTTATTATAGAAAATTTTATAGACCAATAAGAATGAGACACTTGCTCCATTTCACTCACCTCATTTCTCTCTCCCTCCTTGTGGCTAGGTTGCGTTCTAGGGTCACAATTTGACATGAGTCGCGGATTTTGCTATTTTTTATTTTTTTATTATTTTTTAGTTGGTTACCTAATAAAGATAGTATAATATTTATTTTATTTTTATTTATTTATTTAATAAATATTATTCTACAATACATTTTTTGGTATTGTTTTATCTTCAACCTAACCCAACATAATAATTTTAATTGTGTTCCAAAACATATCAAGAGTGGTCTCTATTTATAGAGTATGGAAAAATACGAATTTTGGTATTTTTTATTTTATTTTTTAAAACAAAATAATAGCAATAATTTGAGTTATACTTATCTTATCATATAAAATTTATAGTGGACCAATGAAAATAGGACAAGTCTCTCATTCCTAATGTATGAAAGTTAGATAATATGGAATCTTCAAAAAATCTTCATGTAATCTTTTTATTTAAATTTTTTAATTTATTTATTTTTTCAAAATTTTCAAAATTGGTTGGATGACGCTCAAATTTTAATTTTTAGCCAAAAATCTTTCTCATTTTATTCACTTTGGGCGGGAATTGGCTTCTTTTTTTTGCTGATTTTTTTTCATCTTTTTTCAAATAAATATCATTCCCTCTTTATATATTAATAGATTACCGAATTGGATTTTAATTTTACCGCTAAATTAAAAGTTTCAATAGTCAATAAAAAATTATATTCTCGAGCCTAATAAATCTTAGCAAACTTTAAAAAAAGATTTAAGCAATCAAACGAATTGAGTAAAACTCAAATCTAAACAGAAAATTAACTCTGTTACAATACAAACCATAATTAAATAATAAAAGGTAAAAAAAAAGGCTAATTTTTATTAAGAACTATCTTTTTCGTTATTGGCTTTGTTCTATGAATTAAAAAAAAAAAAATAATATGCGAGTGGCTCGGGCATGATGTTATAGGGGTCTCTTATTCACGCCGTATTTTAGTCTAGGCCTATGACCTCTTTCTTTTTTTTAGGGGGTACAGGGACTTTCCGGTTTCCGGATCCACAGGGGAACCGACTAATCCGGAATCGAGTCGGGTAGGACCACAAGGGCGGCAAAGCTCTCCCTCAAGAGTTTTAACACTGCTGCATTCTCAGGGCTCGAACTCGAGACCACTGGTTAAGCTGAAAGAGACCCAAGTCATCTCATACAAGCGCTTTTGAGTTATGACCTCTTTCTTTATATCAAAAAAAATAATTGAAACCCTTTTAAAAATAATTTTATTTATTTATGTGGGGTTTATTCAATATATGAATGGTCCAAATCACATCTAATCCTTTCCCATATTTTCTACATCGTGGAAGTAAGCCACGTGGGCGTTGGTTTGGGGTCAGAGAAAAATCTCAGTCAACGCCCTTTTGTCCAAAACATTTTTGTTCTTTGTTTACTTTAATTTGACTTTTGTAGCAGCTTTGTTGACCTTATTGCCTTTC